CCGCTCTCTCCGTCCGTCCTTCAGCATGAAAGCTTTCAGTCCTGTGAGATCTGTCAGGAAAAACAGCCTCTCGGAGCACAACCTAGGCATATCCCGGAGCAAAACCCCCGTGGATGATCCTATGAGTCTGCTGTACAACATGAATGACTGCTACTCCAAACTGAAAGAGCTAGTGCCCAGCATCCCTCAGAACAAGAAAGTGAGCAAGATGGAAATCCTGCAGCACGTTATCGACTACATTCTGGACCTGCAGATCGCCTTAGATTCACATCCCAGTATTGTCAGTCTGCATCACCAGAGACCCGGACAAAATCCTTCTTCCAGAACTCCTCTGACCACCTTAAACACAGACATCAGCATCCTGTCGTTACAGGTAAGTGGCCTCCCTGCAGCTACCCCCTCTCTGTCCATTGACCTAGATACGGTATTTTAAGTCAGTGTTCGAACTGTCTTGAGCGCAGAACGCGGCCACCCCGAGCAATGGTTACTGAAGAAACAGCACTACATTAAAACGTACGGAAACTCCAACAAAACTGCCACTACCTCTGCTAGCCATCGTTGTGAGTTTCTCTCAAAACATGTCATGAGCGAAGAACTTCACGACCCAGAGTACTTTTTCTGCTTTTTCGACTGCTAAGGCATTTAACGCTGCTCTGTTTTGTTGTATTTTCTGCTTGCAGGCATCTGAATTCCCCTCAGAACTAATGTCAAATGACAGCAAAGCACTTTGTGGCTAAATCAAACGGTGAGTAAAGGGAATCTTATTTTTAACCTTCAGATGAAAGTGCTTCCATTTAGAATGGAAAAATTCTGTTTATGAGGCTGTTGCTGTCTGAAAGAAGTCTATCCTAAAAGCTGATTAGGAGATGCCTTTTATAACCAGCAATCCAACCATAAAATTTAGACTAATAATCGAGCCTGATAGTCCAAAGTATATTTTGGTCTCTAAGAATAATTAAGCAGCCCGGACTGTGTGCTCTGATACTACTCACCGCTTAATGCCAATTCTCTGGTTATCTGTTCCCGAAGTCTTAACTTCCCAGGCCAGAGTGACTGATTAAGTTGGGAATCTTGGCACAATTTCTTAAATTTTGTCATGTGGGATTGTCTACACTATCAGTTAAATAAATGACTGCTTTTTATCAAATAATTGCTGTAAGAGGCAGACTGGCGCCTCTGAGCAGTGCATTTACAGAGATCTAAATAGAGATTGGACTGAGAATCCTCTTTCTGTCCTTTCCCTTGAGTGTATGTTATTTTAATGTTCAATTTGAGCTCTTGAGAGTGAGTGTGTGAGCGTGTATGTGTTGCATCTGGACGCCAGGGTTTGCCCAATCTTTGAGTGTTTGGTTAAATGTTCAAACTGTGGCTTCCTCTCTGGCGCCAGTCTGTCCGGATCTCTGCCCTGTTAGCATTCTCCTAAATACGCCTCTTTTCAATCTTTTGCAGGTGTTCCACTGATGAGATTTTTTTTTTTTTTTTGCACAAGAAGATGTCTACAGGATTTTTTTTTTTTTTGAGGTGCTGAATTTATTTTTCAGCTGTATCTGGAGGGGGAATCCACATCTAACTGTAAAAGGACCTTTTAAAATTAATAAAGAAGAAAAATCAAGATTGATCTTTATCCCCACCCCATTCTTCAACTTGGACTGAACCTAGTTATTTATGAAGAGACTCTTAAATACCCTTTCCCTAGTTGGAAGGCTTCCTTTATATACTATTCCCAACGTGGGGAGCGAAACAAAATCTCACGAGGAGTTGCCCCTTTTAAGCAGACTTTGCCTTTTTTTTCCAAAGGTGGAGCGTGAGTACCAGAAGGATCCAGTGTTCAGTTTTTTAGGAAAGTCTACGGTCAGAAATTACCTTTTTTGACACAAACCTAGGACTGAATGCTGTGTATATATTTATATATAAATATATATATATGAGTGAAACCTTGTGAACTCTTTAATTAGAGTTTTCTTGTATAGTGGCAGAAATGTAAATTTCTGCAAAAAGTGTAATGATGTACTTAATCATGCTAAACTTTTTATAAAAGTTTAGTTGTAAACTTAACCCTTTTTATACAAAATAAATCAAGTGTGTTTATTGAACTGATTGCTTGCTTTTATTCTTTGGGGACCAGCGGTTTGTGGCTTTGATTTGTTTTTTAAATACTTATACATTCTGTTATGATTTTACTGAGTAAAAGTTCAAGTATGTAGAGAACATAAAGAATAAAATTACCTATAGTGAATAATAATTCTTGTAACCTGGAAAATCTTATTTGAGTGTATATTTCAAACTGCTGGATGATTTGCTGATAAACAGTGTGAAAGGAACTAGTGAAGTAATTTATTACAGAGGGGATGCTATTGACAAAGTGTTGGGAAACACACACAAAAGCAGTTAATCCATAGACATTCCCACAGAGTGTGACTTTTTTTTTTTTTTTTTAACCCCAACGGATGATTCACTTTCAGTTCTCAGTAGCAATGCCCCAGATCTGTTAATATGTGTTTAGATTAATCACTCAGAATTAAAGGGTTGTGGGTGGTTATTAGTTCCCCAACTATTAAATTTCTGTAAAAAAGGCTTTGAATACAAGAGTTGGTGATGCGTTAACATGGGATCCAGAATGATGAAGTGACTGTTGCCTTTCCACACTGGAATTTTCATGCTTCCATGCAATATTTCAATGACATGGGGTTTCTAATCAGTTGCAGCAGCTTCTCCGTATGACTAAGATATTGAGAATTGAGCTAAATCGCTGTTGTGTTACTGATTAAACTTTGGCTGCTCCTAAAGGAACTTTCTCCATAAGAATTAAATTAAGTTTGAAATAAGAGTCTAAATTCTTGAAAGCCAGTAACAGTTTATTTCTTCTCTCCTTTCCCTTCTGCCTTCAGAAGACTGCATGCAACATGCCCTGCTTACTCAAGGACATTTGTTGTACCCTACAAATCTACTAGAACTATCGCTGCTCATTACATTTATTCAGTTGTCATAAGACAGTAGATGTGGGAACTGTGCCTTATCAGATGACATTCTAATTTAAGCTCAGTTATAAAGTTGCCTAAAATGGGAAGTTTAAGTTCTGAGTCCTGCATATGAATTAAGAGAATCATTAGCAATAGGAATGAAAGAAACTTCACGCATACTTTGGGTAAGTACTGCTCTCTGGCAGGCATTGCACGTGGGGGCCTGAGGGAGCATGTTTAGGATTTCTGCGCTCTAGGGACTCTTAGAGTGAAAAGCAGGAGCCTCACCTGGGGCCAGGAGCACTTTCACCAGCGAACAGGTGGGTGGGTGGTGCCTCTGGGGCTGCAGCAGCTGCCTTTCCTTGCCCTTGACATCAAATCCATTCACGTAGGCTGGGAGAAAGCCAGCTCTGATCTCTTAATACAGAAGCTGCCCAGCCCAAGCAGCACTGCAACCCTTTCGAAGGATCAGTGCACTCAGACCACAAGAACAGTTTGCAGAGCCAGCACGGGGACTGGGGTTAGGAAAAGAGCTGATCTACTGCTCCTCACCATACGTTCCCCCCTCAAACCATTAGTGCTTAAGGAAATCTCTTAACTGTAGCAAACGTTCACAATGCCTCCTGCGGCCAAGCCTTGCTACTGTCTCAACACCGCGAGTGCGCAGCCTGTTCCAACTTCGTGCACTGAACGTTTAACCCTGACCACCAAGTAGTAAAATATTTCACCCGTGCAAATCAGCATGTCTCTGTCCCTAAAATACTCCTTTTCACGAATATTTTATCTATTTCTGAACAGCAGTGGACGCAGGGGTTAAATCAGCATTGAGATCTTCGCCCCTTTCAGAACACTACCAATCTAGTGCAATAGCCACCCAATTTCTCCCTCAAAACTGATTTTTCACCCTATTGTTCATTTTCGGGCGAGACCTCAGTAAGCATCACTTTAAAGCCACAGTTCAGTTTATGAAATTAGGGAGTTGTGACAGCCGGATCATTGTAATTATTACAAGATCCACTCCTTTAGAAAGTAAGGCATTTGCACTTGGATATTTTTGAGCTACGCGATGATTCATATATTTGTAGAATGAAACAAATTTTCCTTCTCATGCATAGCCAAAAGAGAAGTTCACAATTTACCAGGCATAGGGAAATGAACAGAAAAACAAATAAACATGTTTTTAAAATTGCAAATTAAGATCAACCAATTCAACATTTCTACAATGCATTCCTCTGATCAAAATTACGGGCTTATGCTAGGTGCTCTGCTTAGAGATTCGCTCTTTGATTTTGTTCTGGACATTTTATAGTTCAAACCTAAACAGCAAGGTCAAAGCTTAGTCTCCAAAGTCTTAACATTAATTTTTGAAGCTTCCTTGAAGAATTGGGCTTTCTTCATTATATACCATTGCCATTGCTCCCCCAGCATACATTCAAAAATTTTGTGAAATTTCCACCACTTCCTCTGGCCTCATTACTCTGTATCTAAACACAGTCGTTGACAACAATCGAGATAACTGACTAGCTGAACACAACAGATCAAGACAAACCACGTTCAACAGCGTGCTAGTGAGCATGTTGGCAACACTCACGGTTAAACACTGTAAAATCTTCTAGCGTAGGCCATGCAAGAAAGTTGCAAATGCACCTACAGACATAAATGTCAAGTATCCACGAGAAAATAAAAGGACCCAGCAACAGATTGAAAATGATTCTTCCCTTTAGAACAGAGATTTCCAAACTTGGTATTGCTCACTTATTGCCCTTAACAGATGGACCAACTCCTGATGCTATCCCAAGCCGTGGCGGTACGCTAAAACATCTCATTTGGGTGTTCAGGGAATGCCTCTGTATTATAAAGCATTTAACACACTGCTGGTAATATGTATTAGAACAGGTTAGAAATCCTCTCACACACGCTTGGGTGGCGAGAGCACCTCCAATCTATCACCAGGGGAGGGAAACGCAGGGAGCAGACGTCTGGGTTTTGTTTACCCTCTCCTGGGAAAATGGCACTGTTTCTATTGCAAATATATTATTCACAAGCCACTTAAAGAACCCATGCCAATATTTTGACAAAAATATTACCAAGAACATCGACTCCAAACTAAAACAGTACCTTTGAGTTGCCTTCCCTTCAGGTTGGTCTCCTTCAGCTGTGCCAGGGCACCACCAGGTGTTTGAGGACGGGTACATGGAGGGCCACTGCCACCATCTGGTCTGGACAGAGAAAGCAGACTCTTTCAAAGCACACATCTTTCTCAGTTGCTATATGAAAAGTAAAGACATGTTTTTAGAGGATAAACCTCTTGATTCTTTACGTTTTATGAATAAAATCAGAGCATAGGTCTTTTGTGGATTATTTAAAATCATTTTATAGTTGCACCTGGACAACAATGTTTAGCTAATCCAGCTCTGCTAGTTGGGAATTTTAATCCTAAAAAGAGTGAAGTGGTTCATAAAATTTTGAAGAAAAAGTTAGATACAAGTCAAAAATACTTTTCTTGAATGATTTTTGGAAAAGCACCATTTGATTAGCACTGGATCATGAGGTTTGTACTTGGCTTAAGAAAGTAAGACAGGTTTTCCAGACAATCTTATATGGGTCAAGGATTTTCCTACACAACAGCTGACAGTATGAATCAATTAATGTAATATGGGAAAGGCATCAAATAATATATTAATGAGAATTATCCTATTTGGAGGTAAGCAATCTCTTCCTGTTTACCATTGCCCTTGCTCAGTCGTACACAATAAGAAACGATTTACACAGCATTTACTGGAAGTAGTAAGGAAGAGGGATAGTAGTATGTATCTATCTGTCACACAACACTCAAGACTGAGCAAACGATATAAGCATGGGTGCAGAATAACGTTTGAAAAAATAGTTTTACAAACATACTTTTAAAAAACACTGCTCTGAAGTAGGATCAGTATTTTCCATTTTTACAGACAGAGAAATGAAAATGTTTGAGCTTTTAAATTTTTTATTTGCATTACCATCATCCTATCTAGAACCACTATTTATGTTAACACAATTCTAAAACGTAAGGACCAAATACAAACAGTATTTCAAGAAAACAAAGCTTAGATTACACAGCATCAGTCAACATTTGTGTAAAACATATGCTAAAATAAATTGTATGAGACAGAAGAGGAAACAAATGCAATTATTTCAGGAGTTAATTATAGCAACAAAGAGGAATCCATATTTCAGTTTGTTGCAAGCCTTGAAAAAACACTAAAAATGAGAGGACACAGGAGAAAGAATGTAAATAGGGCCAAACTGAGAAAAATGAATTGTACAGAAAGCAATACAGTGGACTAAACTGGTGCTAGCTGCCATACAAGACGATATTTCCTGTCAGTCCTCACAAGAACATTGTCCTGAACAAACAGATAATTCAACATTATATGAAGTTATAGGATCTATCAGATTCAAAATAATTACTACATTACTTACCAAAAAGCATAGGTCGTTACAATTTCCAATAAACATCCCCACAAATGATACCACGTCTGTGGCTACCAGTTTTATAAACAGATAAGATCTTGCTACTTAAAACCAAGAGCTTGAGCCAGCTCTTAAGTTTTACTAATGACGGCAGAACTTCAAAAAGTCACACAAAGCTTTTTTTTTTTTTTTTTTTTGTTAAACAGAACTGGACTGTAAATATGATAAATTTGTTCAATTAGAAAGAGAATAAATTGATACTTACTGTCTTGCACTTGACCAGACATGAGAACAGCAGTCCGGACTGACCAAAACGTACCTAGTTAAGCTCTCTCTCTTGACAGTTGCAGTAGCAGAAGCCTAGGGAAGAATGTAAAAACAGCAGTAAGTGATACTTCCTCCAAGTACTCTCCGCATCTCAGTGTCCTAAGGGAACAGTCTTTCAGATATTTTTGGCACATATATTCAACTTGTTGTACTGCTCCTATCTGAATTATCACCTTATTTTTCTTATCCTGAGAAGAAGTGTAAGTGCTCTAAAGGGAGGAGAGAGAGGGCAGGAAGAGAAGGGGAGGACAGATATCTGTAAGGCTATAGGTATCTCAGATATATTAGACTGGACAAGATCAAAGAAGCACACCTTACTTTAAGAGTAAAAAGTAGAAAGATTAGAAGTTTGAGGTGTTGTTTTCACTCTTACGTGAGTTTCTTTCACCTGGAGATGAGAGCCCAGCCTCCTGCACAGACTGACAATTTCTTTCGAGCATAATGTTTCTTATGCCTCACAGAATTGAATTGTTTTAGATACAATCCAACTGCCTCA